GTATTGTTAGTCATTGTATTTGAATTTAAGTGACCATTGGTACTTGAGTTTTGGTTATTACTACTAATAGTAATGTCTTTGCCATGTGAACCAGAGTTGCTATTAGCACCATCACTGCTAGAAGAGTAATTAGAACTATTTCCTTGAATTCCAATATGATGTTTCGTAACATTACAGTTTGAAAGGTTCGGTGTACAACAACGATTTGGTGCGGCGCAGATGCTGACCGTGACATTAGCAAGGGGCTTGTCACAACCGTAACTCAGACTCGAAGAAATAGAATTTTTTGTATCTGTAAAACCAAGTTCTTCTTTTTTTATCTGAAGACCATGAGATGGTTGGCTGCTAGGATAGTGATCTGACAGTTTCTTGGTCTTCGATCGAGTTCGTGTTCCCGATGTAGAAGATCCAGATCCACGAGGTCGACCACGCTTTTTCTTCTTGGGTGTGTTGTCACTGTCTGGCCCAGACGGGCCCGCTCGATTTCGTTCCCTTTGTCGAGCTTTCTTTTTCACATGACGATTTAATTCTGTCGTAATCACGTAATAATTTGGCCTTTCCCTAGTCAATCGCCGAGGTCTACGACGGCTTTCCGACGAAGAATTATCATCTCCTTTTGTATCCGAAGCAGATCCGTCTAAAAGACCCATGGCTTCCTCTGCTTCCTCTTTGAGCAGAATCTTGTTTCTGGTAGCGAATGGATGCCCACACGTACAAAACTTACAGGCAACAGGTACATGCTCCTCACACTGGGGACATCTTTTGACTACAGTGCGATCAAACTTTTTACGAACCATAATCGTGGCTCGCCGTTTTTTAGCTCGTTTATTATTCAGCTTGACGGTTTCTTTTAACACCCTTTATTTTTTTTTCTATTTAAGATGAAACAAATACTTTCCCCAATTCGACTTCAAAGCTTTCAGTTTTAACATAAAAAACAAACTTGCTTTATTTTCGCAGGTTTGTTAAGCATATACTCCTTTCAGTAATTGAATATCAATGTCCACTTTAAGAATGTATTATTTCAAAATTCTACAGAACAAAATAATTTTAAGGTGAAGAAATGGAACATTTTTTAGTATATCGAAGAAGCTGAATTGTCGATATTAGAGACTTAACTTTGGAATGCCGGAAGTTGGAATAAATGAATTATGGGTAAAAATGGCACATAAAGTTGCTAAGAAACAAAAATGAACCAATCAACACTTCTGACTGATGACAAGTCAATGGTGCAGCATTAGAAATAATAAAAGAAATTAAAACTGCTGCTACATCGCTTGCTTTTTTACCTACTACAATTAAAAGTAGTAGCAGCAGTTTATAGTACTACTACTATTAAGCAGCTGCTGGAGTACTCGCCATAATAAAGTGGGGGTTATATGTAGGTAGTCTGAAAAGTAGACCGTTTATATTGGTTTGTTTATTCCTCATTGTGTATGAAGTTGGCTTTTTGCCAAAGTTAGATTTAGTCAGACAATGTTTAGTTTGTATTAGCTGTTGTAAATAGTCTCAGTAGTGCAAGGAAAAGCTCAAATGTTGACTTATTTTTGGAGCTTGGTTTACTTTTGGTTTTAGACTAGCTTAAGTTAGATGTGCCTCACGTTGTCAGAAAAAAAATAAACAAGGTACAAAAAGACCCATTCCCACTTATTCTTTTCTTTTTAAATAGTCTTATAAAAAATATTCACATTTTTAGTGAAACCGCTCTAAAAATGGTATGGATGTTTAAATTACTTAAAAAAAAACGACGGCCCTGGTTCTAATTTAAAATTAAATGTTGGACACCTGTCATTTTTTTAGTCAGTGTGTGTGTATTTTGTTTTTTAACAAAGCAATCAAGTTACTTTCGCGAACCATTACCTTACTGAGTTCAGTCCTCACTGGGTGCCTCACTATTTTGACCTTGTGACACCAACTACAAAGACAAAGTATCAAAAATCAATATAATTGAAATTGCAGCGGCTTCTTATCGGATAAAACGTAAACTAAACAATAAACATTGATTCATTAATCAGGACAGAACTCTAGTCGAGTATTTGACATAGTCTATGGCAAACCTTTCTTCAAATTTCAATTGAAGATTTTTTTTCAATCATCTATTTAAAAAGCTTGTACTTAAAATAAATTAACTTGAAATTCAATGAAAAATGAATAAAGTAAAAATCTTCACTTAGTTGAATTTAGAATTCTCAGAGTTTGAACAATTCAATTATTTAAAAAAAAAATCAATTTTTTTCTTATGAAACAAAAATATTTTTGTCTTTTTGTGGTAAAATCCAAAACTTAGAGCGAAATTAAATTTATTGATTTGATTTATCATTTCATTTTTTAAACTCCTTAGGAATGTGCTTGTATTTTATTTTTATTTGTTTCTGAAAGCTTTGGAAAAAAAAATGGTCTACATGTTAGTCACTACACGAGTGTAAAATTCTTTTCAACACTAAAAAAATAAAAACTCCTCTAACACTTAGTGTGCAGAAAGAATAAAGGTTTTTTTTTTGGGTTTTTTTTAACGCACTTTACCCATTCTTTGGTCCAATTCATATAAAAAAGATTTTTGTTTTAGAAATTCATTATTAATTTTTATTTTTTAAGATACATACAAATTATTGCAGATTTATCTGTGAAAATTAGGTCTATATATTACAAAGTATTTTTCTAATTTTTAAAAACCTACTTTTTGTTTTTCATGTAAGATCCACTTGATGAAGATATATTATTCATTTTATTAATCAATTCGTTTGCTTAATCAAACAAAAAAATGATTGTGTTACTGTTACAAGGCGGCATACATGAACTAAGGACAAAAATTGCCCCCTCCCCTCCCCACGGGCAAGGTTGTGCTAACATTAACCCCCACCTGAGGAAGTCGACCTCTTGAGGTTTGAGCACATTATTAAACTTTTTAATGAGTATTAATTTGTATTACAAGTATTTGCAAAGTTGTCGATTAAATTTTCAAAATTCTGTTTTTATGCTTGATTTACATTTTACACTTTTCTAATTTAATTTTCAATACAATGATAATAAAAATTCATTAATTATACCATTTTTTTAAGTTGAACAAGAATTTAAACGAGTTTTTAAAAATGTACAAAAAGGGAATCTTAGCAAACGTACTAACAGAATATCATAAGAAAATTAATCAAATCACATAAATTCTTATTGCAATTTGCAACTGATTGATCTTTGACTTTTAGACTAACCAGTCTCATTTACATATATGGTTAAAGTAATTCGTTTCTGGACAGTGGGAGTTTGGAGTTTTAAAAGTAAGAAAATAAGATTAACAAAACAAAATTAATTAAAAATTAAAATGGATCAAGTCTCTCGCTGGGTTCAAATAAAAAATAATTAGCATTGCATATTGGAAAAATCAAGTTTATTAATTTTTATGATAATTTTTTTTTTAGATATTTTTTCCACTTTGTCATGGGGGAATAAAACATATTTTTAATCATTTAGTTTATAAGATTTTCACTAAAAAACAAAAAAAAGTTTCATCACTTTTTTTACTACACGTTCTTTTAAAAAAGATCTCAAACCTAAAAAGAATTTATTTTTCAGCGTGTCCACATTGCTACCAAATGTGATACAAAGTAAAAAAAAAAAAAAAAAAGTGGGTCTTAAACGACAATACCGTGGCAAAATTGCCCAAGCCCTTTCGACACTTCCCCTTTTTGGGGATGCCTCAGACGTCGGGTAATAATCCCAGCCCCACCCCGTAAGAGAGGCACTGGGGGGAGAGGGCGTAATATTATTTTTTAAACTTTACCGGCAAAAGTGCCAGGTAAAAAAATTATAAAATGATTTTCTAGGCGTAGCTTAGATATGGCACAAGGCCGAAAGTGTGGAGCACCCAGTGAGGATCGAACTCACTACTCAGTCGTCGTCGTAATTGATCTAGCGAATCAAGCTTGCTAATCATTTATTACACCACGTCGAAGTGCCCTGGATTTTCTAAACGTAGCTTGTGGCACAGGGACAAAAAGTATAGAGTACTCAGTGAGGATCGAACTCACGACTTGGTCGTAATTAATAGATCTCTAGTGAAACAAGCTTGTTTGCTAACCATTTTTAGTACACCAAGTCAAAAGTGCTCATCTCATAGAACGTAGGAAAGAAAAAGGATCGTATTACTTTTTTCTAGGATGATTTTTATTAACGTTTCTCTGACCCAGGCTGTTGATACCTGAAAAATTAAGAAATAAAGGCATCTGTTCAGGGTGTGTAAAAAAAAAAGTTTCAGTATTTTCTGTTTTAGTAAGTTGGTTAGTTATTTGATTTATTTGTATGTTTGTTCTCAAATCTAGAAAACTGGTGTAGTGGTCTTCACTTCAGGGTTGGAAATAAATAATAATAATTACATGCAGTCAAATGAAAAAGTGTTTAGAAATTTTCTTCTCATCAAATCAAAAGATTATGTATATGTACCTCTAAATTAACCCAAGTAACAAAAAAAAATGAAGTTAAGTACATTTGCACTAAAACAAACTTTTTTACTCTTAAAATATCGTGCCATGAATAAAAGGAATGATTGATTCAATCTGAAATATAATTATTTTTTAGCTCGGATATAATATCACTGAAAAAAAAGGTAAAATTAGAAAATCTTGCACGCTCACAACACACGTGCCTGTATGTTTTCGTGCATGCAAACTAAACAAACTAACACACACACACACGTGTGTATCAAAAATAAGTACTGCTAATAAATTTATTTATATTTTTCTTTTCACGTTTTATTATTTTGTTATATGACGTGAAAAAGAAGAATATGTCAAGTTTTAATTCATGGCGCTTTTTTTATCATTAGAACCACATATTCAAACTGTGACAAAGTAAAAGAAAAAAAAAGAGAAAGAAGGTAAGTAGAATCTGTTATCTTTAAAGTTGCAGGGGAAATAACTAATTTTAATGTTAGCAGCAAGTGACACCGAACTCTTCTTTGTTTATCAAAATGTACACAGTTATTAGAATAGGACAAATGTGCGGGCAACATGCACGTGGTTACGAATAGACTCCAGCTGACACTGGCCATACTGAAACCGGATTGTATGGCCTGTCCACATATTATATCTGTAAGAAACATTTCTTTTTTTTATATCTTATTTTGAAGCTTTCTTGCGTTTTGCAAATGAAACTAAAACACGGTAATATACATTTGACTTGAGTTTATTAACTTTTTAGCATTTTCTGACACTTGGCAATCTACCCAATTTTCATTTCTTATTGACAAAAAAAAATGTTTTGAAACTAACATTACAGATTTTTTTTTCTACAAGAAATATAAATTTAATGAAATATTAACATCAATTTCAGATCTCACTATTATTAAAAAGTTGAGTGACTTGATGTTATTTTACAGACACTGAACTCCCTAAAAACAAGGTCACTATTTATTTATTTTGCAAAAATGTTGATGAGGATGAAGAAAGCCGATGAATGTTAGAAGCGAATTAACAATTTTTATGTTTTAAGAAAAATTGGTAGAAATAGGTTTTGTCTGTTTAATAATGTGTAAAAAAAAATTAGCATATTTTTCTTTTACCTTTCTTAGAACTCAAAACTTTACCGTAACACGGTAACACACAAAAATAATTACAATTCTACAAAGACAAACTGTTTGATGGGGATGTTCGTGTAATTTCATTTCAATGACCTTTTCAAACGTTATTGATAAGAAATAGGCGTGCGATCGCCGATCATTGTCAAGTTTTTTGATAGAAAAAAGGTTAAACTCAAAATTGAGAATAATCGCACATTTTTAAGAAATTTAGAAACTGAAATGTAACAATCAGAAAATGTCCTTATTACTTTGACAATTCATTCATTCTCTTCTTTCTTTTTCTACACTAACTAACAGTACGTGTTCTTTTAAATATTTTACAGATTGTATTTAGGTGGGGTATAATGGGTCTTTCACTTTGATAGTGTTGTAGTATGATTATAAATTGTTTTTAATTTTAATATCTTCTGCTTATTTTACTTTCAATCTGACCAATCTGTTGTAATTAAAATAAGAATAAAAAGAATTTGTTCAACTTTTGTTTGCTACCACTAACTACAATAACAATAACAGTTTACTTTTTAAATACTTTGTTATTAGTTTTTTGTTTTTTTTGGAGTTTTTATTTTTAGGAGAGATCCCATATTGACTTTTAGTTGCAAGTGATTAAAGAAGAAATTGTTTTACGGCACAGTTTTTCTTTGTTTGTTAATTACAGTTGCAATAATAGTTTTAAAATAATAAGTGAATATTAATGTAAAATTATGAATAAATAATTTAGTTCAAGTATCTTTTTTAATTTAATTTTTTCCCTGAATTGAATATTAAAAAAAAGTCTTAGGTGTGTAGAAATGAGCAAAGTAGAAAAAGTAAATAATGCTGCTTGATGATTGATATATTCTTTAAAAGAAAGTTATAATTTCGTTTATTTCAGATAAAAAAATTTAATTTTTTTGAACTAACAAAGAATGTGAAGTTTCACATCTTAAAATAAGGAAGATAAATTTACATAACATTTCACTTGCAGAAAAACTGTACCCATAAAACATTTTTAAAATACCAATTCATTAACTTTTAGACTAAAGCCTTGATGTAGAAATTCTGTATATACTCCAATATTTTTATTAAAAAAAAAATGGTATCCCTTATGCTCACTATAGTGTAATCATTAAAATTGTTTTCTAATAGAGGATGAATTTTTTTTTTCACTCTCTATCTGATCATCCTCAAATGAACACTTCAGTTTTGTTTGACCAACCATTTCTGTCATTCACCACTGTATCCAATTCTTCTTTTTTGATTTTAGTGTCATCTAATTAGTTGATTGATTTCATTTTTTTAATTTTGGAAAGGATTCTATAAATTGAGCCACAACTTGCTGTTTACTTCTCCAGCAATAACCATTAAACTGTACTTGTTTTTTATAATTTAGTTTAATTAAAAATCAAATGGAAAAACTTAATAATAAATTATACACAAAATACATGTTTAGTTGTCGGCACCCACTAGCATCCGGAGCATCATGATCATCATCCTCTCTCTATTCCCTTTCTCCCTCTGGTGGTGGTGGCAGAAATGTCTGTGAAGGCCCAACCTACTTCTGAAGAGTTGTGAGCAGGAGTCACAGAGGAGTGTGGGTGGCGGACATGGCTGGGCCCTCCTGACAGCATGTCGCAGATCCTATTTATGTTGACAGTTGGACTTGAAAGTCTTGGTCCTATGCCAAGAAGACTAATTTGCAGCAACAGTTTCTCAGGTTTCAGGGTCAATGTTGGCCCGTGTCAGGGATGTTTTCAACTGATCCGTGAAGTGCCGTTTTGGGCCTCCGCATAGCCTCTTGCCACTGGCAAGTTCTCCAAACAGTCAGACGCATTCTGGAAATGGGACCCATCCAGTGGAAGGGATGTTGAAGGATGGTAGCCTCAATGCTGGGGAGAGATGTCTGAGAGGAGGCCTTGTTGTTAGTGATGCAGTTCTCCTAATAGATGCAAAGAATTTTTCAGCAACACAAAATCCAGGCCTCGCAATGAAAGTATACATTTATACAATCGTTGTTTCAATTTCAGTAAACATGTATGTACCCTGTTCTTGATTCTAGTTTTAAACAATATTAATTTCAACACAGTATGACAATGAAAAAAGCATATTAATTCTAACGTTAGTAGCCACTCAAGCATAAACGTTTGTGTACCTTAAATTTTTTTGTTCATGTATCATTAGAATAAAATTCATATTACTACTTATAATGAAAAGACACAATACAGAGAAACCTTATTTAGGTTTTATTCATCAAATATGAATAGTTTGTATATACAGGACTACTTATAAGCAAGAGCAGTCCATCCACAATGAAAGGCAGGGTGGAAAATGAATGTTCGCCACAATCTCCTCTGCTACTAGAAATAGTTAGTGATAGTTAGTCTATCCGGGGATGGGGGATCACTCGGCTTGTCTGTCGATGAAGAGCGCAGCCAGCTGCAAGAACTGATGTGAATTTCAGGACTCGGTGAACATCGACACCTGGAATGCATATTGCGACCTTGAGATCCTGGGTCTTGGGGGCCCCATATTGTAATGAAAAGACACGATTCAGAGAAACCTTATTTAGGCTTTATTCAGCAAATATGAATAGTTAATGTGGACAGGACTACTTATAAGCAGGTGCAGTCCATTTTACAATGAAAGGCGGTGGGGGGAAGGAATGTTCACCACATTACTTATTGCAGTAATAAACAACTAATGTAATATTTTTTTCTATATTGTTTTATTATCTTTCCTCTTTACCTTTTCCTTATAATCTTAATTCCTTACTATCTTCTTTTCTATTCCTGTCACACACCTCATTTGGCATTACCATTTCGTTGACTGTAACCCTTTTTACCTTAAGTGGCTCTTGAGCCTTTTATTGGATGAACTTTAGAATAAAAAAAAAATAATGAATTTTCAAATCTTTCTTTTTGCATAGTAATTTTTTTGGTATAAGAATAATCATTAGGACACAAAACTAATTTATTCATCGAGGATTGAATTTATTAGCACTCTTAGACGAGCTTGTAAAATATTGCTCTACAGCAGGCGTCCTAATGTGTTTATCATTCTCATTTTTAGATCTTAATCTTTAAACAGCAAGAAACGGTTGCATGAATGTGCATGCCAAATGAACAGAAAAACAAAACAATATTCATTTTAAAAAGAGTTGTTTTATGTTTATTTTCACTTTATATCAGTCAGTTATGTGTCATGCATGATACACAGGCGATCATGTATCTTTTGATACATGTCTGATGAGGCAGACTTTTTCCTGCAGTAGGTTGTCATTTCTTTCTGCAGTAGACCAGTTATCATCCAAGGCTATAGAACCTCGTCTGTCCTGCTATTTACTCATGGGGGGGGGGAGAGGATTCATACCTTTCCCAAGTGTATTAGCACATAAGTAAATGTAATAGATTTTGACTGGAATTCGTACTCAGCTCTCCGATTCCTCAATCCGAGCTGATATCCATTAAAAACTATAAAAAAATTATATTTTAACTTTTTTAGATTAGAAAAATAGAGTAAAAAGTGAGATAAAAAGGTTCCTAAATTTAATATTTTTTTTAACAGTATGATACTTGAAGCATTCCATACACAATTCTTTGCACCAAGTTGTCCCCGTTTTTTTTTTTTCTTCTTTTCTCTTCTGAAAGTATGCATGCAAGCATAGCGCCATCTTTGGTTTGTTCTTTCAGTTTTATTTACTGGCAATCATGGTCAGAATTTAGTAAACAAATACGTCAAACAAATTCTATTATACAGATCATAAATGATCATGATTTCTAGAGTTGTCATTTAGACTCAAATTATGAATTTATAATGCTGGTATTGTTGGAAGACATTTAGATCATGAATTGATGATATATTCTTGTCTCCAACAAAATATCAGTTAATGATGCCAGCCATTTAAGAATTAACTAGTAATATCCTACCAGTTCAACATAAGAAAAATTAATAATCAAATATGAAAGTAAATCTGATTGATTGATTGATTTGGTTATTACAGCATAACAACTTTTTGTAGGTTATTAAAGTCAAAACACATTTTTGGATTGTATGAATCATTCATTGTTTTTTTTCTGCCAGTGAATATTGTATTAACACTTTTTTAGAGATAATAATGATTTACTAGTCCTAATATTTAACACATAGCTTGGTGGGAGATTCATACTTTTCCCAAAGGTATTTGTATTAAGTGAATGTAATAAACCTGACTGGAATTTGAACAGCTCTCCAATTTCTCATTCAAAGCTGTTATCCATTATAACACCTTCACTGACCAGGCTCAACATTGCTTAACTTCATTGATTAGATGAGAATCGCTGGTTCAACAAGTTCAGCAAGTAAATCTGAAGGCCATGTTGGTTATCAGTTTTTGATTAATAAGTGGAGCTCATTTTGCTAATAATTTTGTTATCTGTTTTTATTATCTTCAGAATATTATGATATGAAATTCGAATGTTGCCAAACATATGATAATACTTTAATATTTGGATACAGTAGACTTGATCTTTCACTCAAAGACAATAAGGACAATATTCAAATGAGTTAGCAATCTATGTTCCCATGGATGCAAAGAGCTCAATTGCACAATCTAATGCTGTCAATGGTGTATATATTTTGGATTTCTCTGGGGTAGATTGTTCTAGTTCCATGTGCCATGTCTAATGGATGTCAGTTATCTCCTGTTAATTCCCCTCTCTAAGTTCTCCACCACTTTAACCAGATATTGAACTCACACTCTTTGGGTCCTGTCACAGGTTCTAACTAACGCCTTTATCCACTGTGCCATGTGTCCTTGAGGACATCTGGGTATGAATTTCTGGGTATTATAAACCTAATGTCTTCAGCAACCATTTTTTACCAGTGCTCATATTGTAATTTTTTGCTGTTACCATTACATGTTTTTACCAGAGCTCATATTGCAATTTTTGTTGCTATTATCACTTTTCTCTGGCACTCCTTATTACTGGTTCCCATATTGTATTCATTTCTATGCTTGGTTGGCTCAGGAGATTTTTGTGGCCTAGCATATGTGCTGATTCCTTAAGTTTACAAATTTTCCAATGATGTTCTTTGTCTATGATCTCAACCTGATCTCACAGAGGGCGGTGATCTCCCTTTTCTCTCCATATGTGGTCAGCCACACCTGATTTTTCCACTTCCCCTTGAAAGATAATGGTTTGGTATGGCCAAAGTTGTTCTTCGATATGCACTTGTAGATAGACTAATCAGAGATTTAGCAGTGCAATATTCAATTCTTTGCATCTCCATTCTCTTAGTTTGCTGGCACGAACATCAGCATCTGCAGTGTATGCATTGACATGGCATTACCTGTAGTCCATTATGGGACACACTTTTGACATGTTTTACTGCACGACAGCCATCAGCAGAAGTATCCCTTTTGGGGTTCAAGCTTCTGCTTGTTATATTGAATAAGCCAACCCTGCTCAATCCATTGTCACAACTCCCTCTCATACAATCCTCTGATTTTCATTGGAACAGATTACTCTGTAACGCGGTTTTGTAACTTGCCTGATGTTTTGCTTTCTGCCCATTTCCAGAACTGAGTCCATTCATTCCACTGCTTATCAAATTCCACCCAGAAACTAGGTTCTTCAATTAAGAGTACTGACACCACAGCACACAGAGAAACTGACTCTTGTGTGAATCGAACCTCCCCTGATTTAGAAATAGACATTCCACCAAAGGCCTTGATTGCATCTATTTCAATTAGGAAATCAAATCCGAGGGGATCCCTTAGCTCTACCAGGACATCCATCACAACAGCCCTTCTATTTCTCACATGAAGGCAGACGAACCCAACTCTGCACATGCATGTTCTGTCGCCGATGGTTACAATGTCAATGCTTTGTTTCATCTACATTTGGCACACCTTGCTCACTATAGTGTGCAATGTACTTCCTTTCACACATATTAACTTCTATTGTTGGCAGCGCTGAGTTTTCATCTTGACTAGGGAGTAAACCAGCACTGAGATGCCGTTCCTTAGCCCTTTTTCCCAGACAATCTTGGGATACGTAGCCTATTTTATTTAGGTATAACAACAGACACGAGGCTTACTGCCTCCACTGAGCAGGCTTTTACAATCTTTGGCAACGTGATTAAGGCCATTGCATTGACAACAAATTATGTCATTAGAACCACTAGAAGGTTGCATAGTCCTTTGGGGTATCTCTCACACTACTGCTACTGTTCTTGTCTTTCATTATTGCTTGACCACAAGCATCTGTTCAATGGTCAATACTTCCATCCGAGAAGCGTGAAGAAGCTGTTTCACACAATTTGGCAACCCCTTGACAAAAGCACATGCCAAGCCACAGTCACTGATGCCCCGTAAAAAACAGCCAGTCTGTGTTGTTCTGCCAATTACACATCAACGGATTCCACTGGTCAATGGTACCGCTCAGAGAATTGTTTATACACAACAAACTTGTCCATCACGAATGCTGTGTAAAGGGCCAATTTTATGTGTTCAACGCCTGCTTTTTTGTCTTCACTTAATTGCTAATAGACGGTAAATGCCCCACCAGACAGTCTTGGAGGAATCACATGTTCTGGCTGCTTCTTCAAACATTGGGCAAACCAGTTCCACCTTTTCTATCCATTCAATCACATTTGGCCAGGACACTGAGCTGTCAAATTTTCCTTCCAACATAGTCTGCAATACAGATGAAATAGCTTGTAGCCGAGTTATCACAATTTGCTCCTGTTGCATCAGTGGCGTCCCTTCAAGTGCATCCCCAGTGTTAACAAATGCTAGCTTTTATGGCATCTAGCAAGGTTGCTACAAAGATTTTCAGTCACATAAGACACCACCCAGTCTGCACAGATTGAGCCTCCTGTGCACAGCACAGGAAATTTTATGTTGCTTATGCCAGGGGAACAGGCTGTGTCCTCTACATAACTACAATGTAATATTTATTATCATTTTATAAATAACTATAAAACAACTTTTTTTATTCAATCTAATAAATAAATTGTATTTTTGTTGTCAAGTCCCAAGAATAAAGAATATGTATAAGTCCATTTTCATATGATTGGGTTTTATTAAAATTCTAATCATTGCTTTTTAAAAACATTAAAAATTTCCCAGGGATTTAAAAGTGTATACAGTAGTAGCAGTGTCAAAGAAATAACTATCCTTTTGAAACTATTTTTTTTTTTTTTGCCAGCACAAAGGTTAAACTTTGCCCTTTTCTTTCCTGATTTTTTATCCAAATTAACTTGCTGAATGAGTTTTAAAAATAGTGTTTATCAATTTGTTTACCTTATCACTAAAAATATTTAGTTTGTTAGTATGTAAAATAACGATAGTCAAATGGTGGAATGACAGTAAATTAAGTAGGTAAAACTGAAATCAGCAATCTTTAACTTTCATGCCTGAAAAAAATGGTGTGTGAAAAAGGATGGTTTTTCCCTTGACACCACTATTATTTTAACTACTTTCATTACTCAGCAATGTTTACTATTTTAAAAAGTGATGATCAGAATGGTAATAAAACCAAAAAACGATGAAAATTAATTTGTAAATTATTTTTGTTCTAGAGAATTTACAACAAAAATATTAAACTATCTATTTATTAGATTGTTTATTTACAAGAATAATTTTATATTTACAAAATTCTAAAATCTAATACAATTGTATTAAATTAATACAATGCAATATTTATCATTTAGCAATTTCTAAAGAAATAAATATGAAAACTATTTTTTATTCATAAATTTATAAACATTTAATAAATTATTAAAATATGTGAACTAATAAGGAAATCCTTATTATTTACCATTTTATAAAGTATGAATTGATTGACAATTAGCTAATGTTTTTCCAACCATTCCAATAAACGATATAATAAATAAACAGTATTTATTAATTCTGTTGTAAATTCTCAAGAACAAGCAAAAATATGTAAATTCAATTTCATCATATTTAAATTTTATTACAATTCTAATCATCACATGAAACAATAAACATTGCTGAGGAGTGAACATAGTTAAATCAATAATGGTGTTAATAGAAAAAAATGTTATTTTGACACATTGTTTTTTTTGTGGGCATGATGATCCAAGTTTGCCTAATTTTAGTATTTGCTGTACTACTATATATAAACAGTTACTGATAAATAAAATAAAGACTATAAAAAGACAATGGTTAGATATATAGAATATAAATAAAGTGCAAAAAGATAATGGATAGTAATAATCTATGAATTTTTAAGTGATGTTTTGCCATTATAATAATTTTTGATGAGTTTTTCTTTCATCTTATTTTCCCTTGCTTTTTATTATAACTCTCACATTGTTATTCTGTAACAGTTAACCCAGCAAGGATTAGAAATAACAAGCTTCTGGTGAAATTTGAACTCATATTCCTTATACATATGATCTTGATTTTCCAACAGAGTATTGTTACCAGTTTGGTTACCAAGGCTTTACTAGTAGGGGCCCCTTCAAATCATAACAGGGATGGCAAAAACACAACTTGTGAGCCACGTGCAACCTTTTATTTCATGTGTTGCTCAGTGAAATATTTTGACTGAGCTCCTTTTTCTATCGCAGTTTAAAAGATAAATAAAAAGTAAAATTCAAGCTTGCGGTTTCAAAAAAATGTTTCATAAAACAATAAAAGCAGATATGTTAAAAGACCATTCATAGCAAAAAAAGAGGGGTAGCATATATATATATAAAATACTGAAATATAAAAAAAAACAGTTAAATTGGTATAACAGTCTTCTCTGATCAGAGCAAAAATCAAGGACAAATAAATGTGTACAGTGACTAAAAAAAATATACAATTCCAGACTAATATGCATACAAAAACATCTAACATTAAAGGTTAATTACCTTTAAGTCAAACAGACACTCCTTCTGCTTATAGAGAGATGGTTGGTAGGACTTAATATATACTCATTCCAAAACATTCAAATGATAATCAGTATCATCCTTACTCAGCACTGAGAATATGTCTGGGCTATAAAACTGGGTACACTGCTGATTTTTAATCAAATGTTCAGCTATCACTGAACTTGATACATTAACAAACTTATGTAAATTGTCCACCCTTCCCTTGTGAATATTGGATCTGTGCGTCCAACCTTTGACCAATTCTACTTACCTAATCAGCATCGTATGGACATCAGAATTTGTAAATTACAGAACTTTATAATTAATTGCCAGGTATGAATTGCACCCCTAATGGATGAAAAAAATAAATGTAATTTTCTTGGTTCATATTGATATTTAAGAATTTAAATCCAAATTGTAATGCTGGATTTGTGTAAAGCATTGTTGTTGTTTTTTTCAGTATTGAAGAAAAGAATGGTAGGAAGCAGAAGGATTTAAAAAAAAAAAAAAATAGACTACCTGTATCCCATTGGGTCAACCTTGTTGTGTTTACATTTAGTTTCATGAAGAGTTTGTGAAAGTAGAGATATTTTAAAAATACATTTATTTGCAGTTATTGAAGTTGCTTTTAACATTAAAAAAATTGTCTGTTTAAAGAAATTTGAACAATAAGATCTTGGAATGTCAAAATTTGGAGTGTTGGGATTTGATACAATAATATAAAATATTGTTGCGGGACTGTGCGTAATTCAACTGTTTAGAATAATCAAACGATTTTCATTGAAAGAATAAAATTCTGTAGAAAAAGACAACGTAGTTTCAACAAATGAACATTAATTTAACAACTAGAATACAAGCAATTGGCCATAGATTGAAAAGTAATGTCTTTTTGTTTGAGTTAATAAAATTCTGAAATAAAATATAAATTCTCTTTGGGTACGTATGTGAGAAACAATGAAATGTTGTTATATATGTGTTTGTGTGAAAAAGTCAACACGTGTGTGCATGGTTCATAGTAAAGAGGATACAAGAGATAGAATTTGCTTCTTACTGTGGCCGGTGTTGCTGTAGTCTGAAGCAGTCTCATTGAAGTTTGCCAGTGCTGTCACTTTTAGCATGAGGTGGTGAAGTTCACAAGCAAGAGTGATGTGGATCTTGATGACAGTTGTGCGTATCCTGTTTGGGGCCAGATTTTGTGTGTTTTATACACTTTCTTGTAAGAAAATCGGTTCCAGCCCTCATTTCCTATGCCATAATAAATTTACATCTTTCTTTTCCCAATTCTCTATATATGACTTGTTTATATCTTTCTTTTCCCACTCTCTATATATATATATGACTTCTAGCAAACACACAAGTTCACAGAGTTTCATATCGTAATAAACAAGAGTTTTCTTGCTATAAAATGTCTACATGTATGTATCCATCAGTTTTTATTTTATTTTTTTATTAAAGTGCTCTAGATACGTAGCAGATAATTATATTTGATGGTATATAAAAGCAGTGGCCAAACCACAGCTTGTGCACCACTTAAAGATCTGACATTTCATGTGTAGCTCATTGAAATATTTTGGACAAGTTCCTTCTCATGTAACAGTTAATATAAAAGGCAAATTAAGAAAACAGTTCAAGTGTTATAATTATTTATATTTATTATATTTTATTCTTGAATAATCTAATTTTATTTTATTGAAATGCAAATTTGTATATTTTTCCTTATTGTCACCAAATTCACAAACCAACACTTTCATCCATTAAGATATTATCACATATGACAATTCTCTGTGGTGAACTGGGAGCCACAGAGAATTGTTGTACAGGGCAATATCCTAGTGGATGAAAGCATTAGTCCATGAATTTGTAATTGTGAGTTCAATCCCTGGGCCGAGTAGTACATAATTAGACTCACTGGAAGCAGGTGAGCAATAACTGAGCAGTACTAAAAATAAGAACTAGATGAGATATCTCTTGACATGGGTAGTGAAGCAAGAACAGTCTATCCCCAGAGATTAAATAAAGGGTTCAGTTCGAAATTCTCTGTAGGTTACCCAGATCGAAGGCTAGACGGCACAATGGTTGAAATGTGATGACAATGACAGAGATAAGGACAATAGTTCAAATGTAAATAGTGGAGGTTTTAGTTCTTTTGTTTTTTAAATAAAATTTAAAGCTCTACATTAATGATTGAAACAAAATGCATGCTTTTGTAAAGATAACTTCTGTATTCTTAAGACAAGTTGCAGAACTAGTCAGAAGAATACAAGGAAGAAACCAGTCAATTCTTGGAAGTGAGACTTTAGAAATATAAGAAAAACATATCCAAAGGAAAAGAAGTAAAACCTGATATGTAACTGGAGAGAGAATAGATTATACTACCCAGCTTTAGGATAATGTCCAAGTACTAGATAGAAAGCATCACAGGAAGGTAAGAAAATTGAAAGAAGTTGCATATATTAGTTTTGGAAATGAATTTAAAAATGAAGCCAATGTAGATTTCAGCATGATGAGGATTACTTTATGTTTCAACAAAATAATTAGTGAACAACCCTGGATATAAAATATATAGATTTACTAAGCATAGCTTATATGTGACACAAGGCTGCAAGTATGGAGCACCCAATAAGGATTGAACTCTCAGTCACCACTGATCTAGCAAGACAAGCTTGCTAAACCATTTCAAAGTGCCCTAATATATATAAGATAAATAGGATTAGCAGTGTTACATCCATTACTGTAAGATTTGGTATAATACAGGGGTCCTCATCCAGGAGGAAATTTCCCCCTCATCAGGGTCTCAGGAGAGGAATCTTTTACATTTTCTTGTTTTTTATTTACAAAATTTGGAGCCCATCATGAATGTAAAAAAAATCCTCTTTAAAAATAATCCATGTAAATGTGTATTAATATAGAAAAAAAATGAAGATTTTCAATAATATGCATATTATTTGGAATGTACATTTTGAGTTGAACAATCTTGGAAAGTGGGGGAAAGACATTCGACATATGATGAAAAGGGTGCATTGGGTAAAAAAAGGTTGAGAACCACTGGTATAATTGGTTTGTTGGATGAGTATATTTACCACCATTGCCTGATTTATACTACCAGAAAAAAGGGACATTTCTCCCACATGTTTTACATACAGATTGTACTCTTGAGAAGGCCATAGAATGAATTGGCTGATATATTGGAATAACAACAAAAGCAATAAAAACATGTGATCAGTAATCTAAACCATTCCTAAAATACATACTTTTCTACTGCAACATATAAATACTGTTTTAGGTTATTTAAATCAGGTCTTATTTTTGAGCATGAGTTTTGTTATATTGTTGTTTTGTTTTTTTGTGTGTTTTTTTTTTCAGGAAATCCGAAGATTAATAATGAACAATGGATTTCTCTTTGTCCAAACTAAAGTGGTCAAACTAAGCCGACCAGACGCTGAAGAATTCTATCGAATCCACGAAGGTGAGATATATATTTGTGATATGGGATTTTTTCTATGAAATAAAATTTGGTAAACTATTCCTTATTTAATTAATTTATCTTGGAAGTTTATTAATTGCAATTAATTATAAAAATACATATCCTAACATTATACATCATTCTGGATGAGGATCCATATATAAAAATGCAACATACCTGTGTGTGTGTGTGTGTGCGTGCATGTATGTATATGATGGTATAGAATCCTTTGAATATAGCCATATTCAGTATGCCGCTTTCAAACAGTCCGTTCATAAGGGTGAACAAGGTCCAGCACCAGGTCCACAAGGTCACCACGTTAACTGTGATATATGCGGAAAACTCTGTCTACATATATATATATATATATATATATATATAGTTTTAAAATATGGTATATTGATGGGTAAAAGTACTCAACATCAGAGATAGAGCATATGTAGATATAAGGATAGCCTGAAGATTATGCTTAATTATGAAATAGACTGTCGCCACCCAGTGTTGACCTCAGTGTCCACCGTCCTAGGTATGACGATAAACTACATCTGCATCCTGGGTAAGACAATAAACTATGTCAAACAGCAAGGCCTCTGATCAGGAGATTTTGAGGAGCATGGAACCACCTCTTAATTGCTGGTGTTCCCAGATCCACTCTGACCTGGGGTGGTAGCACCTGTTAGGGTCCCAGTTATGGGCAAATAGTTAACCTCAAACTGGGGTCAAAACACTATGAAGGTGTAAAAATAGGTTTTAATACCAGAAATACTTTGTAAAAAATTATTACCAGCTATACATTTGTTTGAAAAAATATTACCAGCGATACATATTTGATGGAAAAATATTATCAGAAATAGATTTTTTGAAGGAAAAAATATTACCAGAAATAGATCTTTGAAAAAAAAAAATATTACCAACAATAAAAATTTTGCCAACCCATTGAGGTTGATATGCCATAAAACAAACAAACCAAACCTCAGTGTCCACTTTTATATATATATATATATATATATATATATATATATTTGGTTGGATAGATGTGAGTTTGTGACCCTAATAATTATTCATATATATATTTATTTATATTTATATACACTTTTCACATATATATATATATATATATTATTTAGGCAGCATTTTTTCATTAATGCATGTTTCATTAAATAATATAGACAAGTTTTGTCTGTATTTTAAGCAAATTCCTTTCATATCGTCTGATAAGCTTCATAAAACTATCATTGAAAGACGAAAGAAAATCACCATATAGATACATGTTTTTAAGCCTATCTAAGCTTTCGGTTTACATAAGCCATCATCAGAGATGACAAGTACATTACAATAAATTAAACAATACATGGACATAGCAACAATGATAGTCTGTTTTGTTTGCATGAAAGATTTCCAAGCAACAATAAACTCATGCATATGAGCCACTGGAAGCAAAAAACGCACTGCAACCCATGACATCAGACATGACCACACGAGAGTAAAAATGAGAAGTGTTAAGTATGAAAACTCCACAAATATACTTAAATGCCTATAATTGATAACAGAAGCCATACTTAACTCTCGCGTGGTCATGTGTGATGTCATGAAGCACGGTGCGATTTTCGCTCCCAGTGGCTTGTATGCATGAATTTGTCGTTGCTTGGAAATCCACCGTGTTTTTCAAGTATATATTCCTATTGGCACGGAATATAACAAAAATAAAACCTGTTAAATTTATAAATGTTTCGTATTTGTTCTTTATCCTATCATAAAATTCTCAGAATGACCACAAATGTGTTGCTAGAGTAACAAGTCAGGCAAACGTTTGTTTCCAAGCACATCTGGACATGCTTCTGCTTTCTTAAGATGAGCCGTTCATTGCTGAGCAGTAGAGGAAGTTGTACATGTTAATGTGCTAATGTTGACACAAAATGAGTGAAAGGAATATGGAGCAGTGGATTAACATCAAGTTTTGTCTGAAAATTGATAAAAGTGCTAGTGAATCATTAGCCCTGTTGTCAGTGTTAAAACCAAATTAAAAAATGGCAAATTTTTTAATTTTATCTTCATGTACAAAATGATACCTAAAGTGTTAAAGGAATTTGACTGCAAGAAAAAGTTATTTGCCTTAATGCTTTCTGCACCGTTTCCTTCAAAGTACAAATACTAAAGAGATGATGAAAACCAGATGCAAGTATCAAGTAAGAGTAATGGCAATAGTCCAGATGATATTAAGTTCACACTTAAACAAATTCCTTGAACTTTTATTTAGCACCTTGTAGATATGATAAGCAAATGTTAAGTGTTGGACCTTCATTTGATATTAACAAATTGAAAATATGTGAAATATTATTGTTGCTAATAACAGTCAAAAGTTGATTGTTATTAACAACATTAATATTTATTACAAACTTAAAATGTTGCTATTATCTTTGAGTTAGTTTGTTTTGGATGACTTTTCAATTTTAAGTTCATATAGTTTATCTAAAATTTAGTAAATGATTATAAACATTTAGTGCAATTTAAAAATAAAAATATTCTCTTCATCAGCTGAAGTTATCTTTTTGTTGTAACCGAGGGAAGGTTACTGAATAGAATAATCAAACAAAGGTTGGTAATGAATGATAATACTTAGAACAAGAATAATACATATAAGATTCACCAGTGCTGTGTAGAAGTAGTAGTCAACTGCTAAAAGTGAGTCAAGTGAATTCTACAATGAATCTCCAACTGCAGACCAACACATACAGTATTCACTACTGTATTTATAGGAATGGTGACATACCCATTATCATCTGTAGGTATGCTACAACACTTTTATATAAAAGAAAACTTAAATAATTCAAATTCAAATAACTTGAAATACTTTTTCATATGTAAGATATTAATTCCATAAGATTTACATAAGCCATGCTTTTATTTAAAAAAAACAATGTGTATTTAGATTTAATTCTTTCTGATAATAAAAAACAAAAATAAGGATAATGGTCCAAATGTAAATAATTGTAACACAGGAGAAAATTGCTTGCCTCCTGGATGAAAATAGATTCGGACTTGTCTCGCGTGTAAAATATTCCCAAAAAGAAAATGGTGACTTTACGAGTTATATATTTGTATATTTAAAAAAGATAGATCTGAAAGTCGGATACTTTTGTGAGAATCTCTTTCCATCTATGTAAATTTTAACTGTCACTCAATCTATAAGAAGTGTTTAAAGAGACAACTGAAAAAAGTGCAACTGCGGTAGTGAACAGGAGATATGTTTTGTTGGATTATTTGACTAACACTACTCTTTTGGTCGAAGATTGGAGGAAACAAAGTAAGGAACCTTATTACAGGCCAGAAGAAACTGACTACTATAGACCCTTATTACAGAGCAGAAGAAACTGACTACTATAGAACCTTATTACAGAGCAGCAGAAGAAGCTGACTACTATAGAACCTTATTACAGAGCAGAAGAAACTGACTACTTAGAACCTTATTAATGAGCAGAAGAAACTGACTACTATAGACCCCTTATTACAGAGCAGAAGAAATGACTACTATAGACCCTTATTACAGAGCAGAAGAAACTGACTACTATAGACCCTTATTACAGGCCAGAAGAAACTGACTACTATAGTACATTACAGGCCAGAAGAAACTGACTACTATAGAACCAAATTAAAGAAGAAAAATACTATAGACCCTTATTACAGAGCAGAAGAAATTGACTACTATAGAACCTTATTAAAGGCCAGAAGAAACTGACTACTATAAACCTATATTACAGAGCAGAAGAAACTGACTTTCTAGAACCTTATTACAGGCCAGAAGAAACAAATACTATAGACCCTTATTACAGAGCAGAAGAAAACCAGATAGACCCTTATTAGAGCAGAAGAAACTGACTAATAGAACCTTATTACAGAGCAGAAGAAATTGACTACTATAGACCCTTAAACAAAGCAGAAGAAACTTTTATTATAGACCCTTATTACAGAGCAGAAGAAACTGACTACTATAGACCCTTGTTACAGAGCAGAAGAAACTGACTTGATAGACCAAATTACAAAATAGAAGAAACTGACTACTATAGACCTTATTACAGAGCAGAAGAAACTGACTACTTAGAAACTTATTACAGAGCAGAAGAAAACTACTATAGAACCTTATTACAGGCCAGAAGAAATTTTGTTTTAGAATGACTTTTCAAAGAAACTTCATATAGTTTTATTAAAATTTAAGAAACTGACTACTATAGAACCTTTTATTACAGGCCAGAAGAAACTGACTACTATAGACCCTTCATTACAGAGCAGAAGAAACTGACTACTAGAGTTGTATTACAGAGCAGAAGAAACTGACTACTATAGAATAATTACAGAAGAAGAAGAAACCTGAATGATAACCCTTATTACAGAGAAGAAGAAACTGACTACTATAGAAGATTACAGAGCAGAAGAAACTGACTACTATAGACCCTTCAACAGAGCTAAACCTTTTTAAAGAAACACTACTATAGAATTATTACAGGCAAGAAGAAACTGACTACTATAGAACCTTATTACAGAGCAGAAGAAACTTCACTATAGAATTTATTACAGAGCAGAAGAAACTGACACTATAGAACCTTATTACATCAGAAGAAACTGACTACAAGAACCTTTTACAGAAAAGAAAAACTAAATAATTACAAATTCAAAGAAACCTTATTACAGAGCAGAAGAAACTGACTACTATAGAACCTTATTACAGAGCAGAAGAAACTGACTACTTAAACCTTATTACAGAGCAGAAGAAACTGACTACTATAGAACCTTCTTACAGATAAGAAGAAACAAAACTATAGAACCTTATTACAGAGCAGAAGAAACTGACTAAATAGAACCTTGTTACAGAGCAGAAGAAACTGACTACTGCCTCCTTTATTACAGAGCAGAAGAAACTGACTACTATAGAACCTTATTACAGAGCAGAAGAAACTGACTACTATAGAACCTTATTATAGAGCAGAAGAAACTTTAGAACCTTTTAA